ATCTGGGCAGTGAGGCATCGGGTGTGCCTCCTCCATGCTGTTCCTTCCCCACTGGCTGGAACCACTGGTGACCCAGCTTCAACCGTGCAGGTTATGACAATGCCCCCGAGACCGGAGGCAACATGATATAAGGAACCTGTGTCCCTGAATGACCGCCCGGAGCAAAGCTGCCCCACTGACCTGGACTGCTCACTTCAGAAATGTTAACTCCCCTCAGAGCTGTTATGTGAGAAACAAACCTCTTTGTTTTTTAAGCCACCACATTGTTGAGTCTGTTACAGCAGCTTAGCTTTTTACCCTAATACAACCATGCAACGTCCTTTGTGTATTCAGAATAGCTTTACAAATGACCAGTTAACCATCTTTTCAGAACAGAGGCCTAACCTCCCAAGTATGTGATAATCAAATAATGACATTCCTTCCTGTGGCTACTATCCCAGAATGTCTTCGTCTGGTTAAATGCTATTTAACAAGTGAAACGGATCACTTATGGAGAGACTTACTTGGTTTTCATGCAATTAATTCAACAAATACTTGCCTTTCTAGATGCTGGGGATAGAAAGGTTCCTATGTTTACAAAAGCTTGCTTTCTAGTGAGTAGTGTTGTTTTGTTTTTAATGTTGTGTTGTTTTAAGCACAAAAAGTCTTTGTGGAATGTGGAACTGAGGCTAAGAATACAAATGACTGCAAGTTACAAAGGATCAAACCATGTGCCTGTATTTCAACTGTCTTCTTGTTTAGCCTTAAAAATCAATCAAAATATTTTAAGGACTAAGAATCCTGTTTCCTTTTCAAAGGATTTCCTAACTGCTTAGAACGGCATTGTCTGAACTGTAAGGAGTGTCCAAAGGCTAGTCAAGATTTTTACTTTGTCAATTGCATCTCGATAAAACTGGGAAAAACTTTACTGACAGGTAGAGGGCTTACTGAGTGTTGAAATTAATTACCCAAACCATCCAGACAGCACTGCTGCGACTGGAGACCGAGTACCTGGGCTTGCACGGGGATTAGCCGAGGCCAGAGGCTGAGATGGCGCTCCTCATCCTCACCATAGGCTGAAATAGCCCAAAGCTGGTCTCTATGGTCTTTCCCTCACCGTCAAGTAAAATTTGCTGAGATTTAATAGGTGAGCGAGAGTCTGTCCTGGCTTTGCCACAACTTGCTCCCTGCCTACAGAACTTCATGTTTTGGGCCTGTCCTCCCATCTGTACAAGGCGATGTGGCTGGCTCCTTCCATCTCGACATTCATGACAACCATAGAACCACTTCCCTTCCCTGCACTCAACAGCCACGCCCTTCAGAGGGAGCAGGCAGAGAAGGGAAAGTACCTGAGGGAGTACTCAGACCCAGCACCCAGCAGACCTCCAGTGTCCGGCTTCCCCAGGTTCTGCTGCTGGTGGCGAAATTCCGTTTATAATTTCTAACAATCATAGTGCCTTAACCTTGTAGGCGCTTCCTTAATATTAGGCACGTTATTGTTTTTCTTCCAAGAAATTCCTCATTTCCAATTGCCAAGAGCAGCAATTTTCAACTGATGTGCCACAAGAATTTTTAAAACATGCAATGCCTAGTCAGGGACACTGACCTCTTTTCCCCTCGATTGTCAAACTAAAAAATTACAACAGCCAACACAATAACCATCCGGTTATTGGTCACACTGGCAAAAAAAAAAAAAAAAAAAAAAGGTATCTGGCATGGTGCAGGGTTTTAGTAATTGGTTTATGTGCCACGAGAAGAAAAAGGCTGAGAATCGCAGCCAGAGATAGCGATGGGCTGAATGGGAAGTTGCTGCCCCAGGTATTTCAGATGCCAGGGTTAAAGGCTCTTTGAGGTAGGATTGTTAAAACTAGTTTTTCCTGCTTGTCCACCGGAGCTTTTAAAAAGCTTTCAAACACATCTGGCAACTCGAGAGTGAAGAGCACTTCATGAAGACAGGTCCCCTTGCAAACGGGCAGCTCGGTGCTCCGCAGCCGGGGGAGCACTGGTCCGCGGCTCGCTGGCCGCACTGGCTAACAGGAACCGCTCCCGCCGGCCAACAGGAACAGAAACAGCATCTCCCCCCAGAGCTGCGTGAGAAGACAGTGTACACACACTTGGTCCTGCTCGACTCACAGTAAACACACCTCCACTTCCAGTGGGAAGATGTGGCTTCCCACCGTGTTAGCTCCTGAAGTAGTGAATAAACTGTGAAAATGATGCCATGCTTTTAAAAAAATATTTTTTATTGATTTCAGAGGAAAGGGAGGTAGAGATTGAAACATCGATGAGAGAACCACTGACTGGCTGCTTCCTGCATGTCCCCTGTTGGAAGGGCTCAAACCCCCAACCCGTGAGTCCCAGGCCAACGCTCTATCCACTGAGCCCAACTGGCTAGGGCTATGCCATGTTTAATGTAAAGGCCAACCTGGGGGAATACAATGCTAGTTTCCTCTTTGACCAGAGAAAAATGTATTCTCGAGATTCAAATCAGATAAAGCGGAGGTGGGAGCTAAGATGCAATAAAACTCAAGGGAGCCAGGGCACCCCCAAGACTGGGAGAGGGAGAAGAGAAGCCACTGATGTCAAGTTGCAAAACCCAGCTTCCCAGGTCACATGGCAGCATACCCGCTGCCCTGGCCCGACTCCTGCCTTGGCATCGCGCCGTGCCGTCAGGTGCCTCGACACAGCCTCCCGACACATGCGCTCACCCCCACGCACCAGGCGAGGCGCTGCTCACTGCCTGCTCTCGCAGCAAGTGTCCTTCCTTTGCAGCCCGTATCACAGGCATAATCCTATAATTATGTGATCCATGTGGACTTTTCTATCACCACGTATTCCCAGAGCCTAGCATAGCACATGGCACTTAATTTCTAAAATATTTGCTAGCTGAGTGATGGGCTGGCCATAGCCTGAGAGTTTATCAGGGGCTGCTTTTAGCCTAAACGCTGGCATTGGAATAAAGATCAGTATACAATGGTGAGTACACTGGGGGACCCTAGGGTGGTGGTCAGGGCCAAAAACAGGAGAATTGACAGGTGGCAGGAGAAATCCATGTATACATAGGTACTGCCAATAGATAAGGTGACAGATGAACATAGTATGTACTATATGGCATCTTTGGGGTAAGAGAAAAAATATATACATATTTGTATTTGGTTTTGCTTAAAAATTCTTGAGATATGTAAGAAATTAGTAAGTGATTATCTATGGGGGCAAAAGGGCAAGGAGGTGGGAGTAAAATTTCTCAATGAAAGTCTTTATATCATTTTAATTTCTGATTTTTTGTAAAAAAAAAAAAAGTCTGGTAAAAAAAAAACTTTAAAATATTCGAAGAAAAACTAAGGAGTGAAGCTATGGAATTTAGCACTAAAAGCTCAATCAAGTTTGATAATTCTTTTACCTCACCCTCTCCTCATATGCACAGCTAACAATCCATTTACCCGGAGTTGCTTTTTAAGGTCTAGACAGGCGTCTTCAAACTGCGGCCCGCGGGCCACATGCGGCCCGCAGAGGAGTCTGATCCGGCCGCCAGGTTCTTTGGGCAGTGAGCGCAGCCGAGGTGTTACAGTAGGAATTAGTAGTTCATATAGTCCGGCCCTCCAGCTTTCTGAGGGACTGTGATCTGGTCCCCACTTTAAAAAGTTTGAGGACCCCTGGAAGTGCTGTCTTCCCCAACCCCTTGCCCTCCCTCAGAAATGAAATCCTCCACTGTTCATAGAGCCTTTGGTATTTTCTTATTTAGGTTGGTTGTCTGTGTATATACACAATATTTATAACCTTCCTGAAAGCAAGAATCGCCTCATTTAAAAAATAAAATAAAAATTATATATATATATATATATATATATATATATATATATATATATATATATATATATATATTTTGGCCCGGCTCCTCAACTCACTGCCTAAAAAAATATATTTTTAAAAATATATTTTTATTGACTTAAGAGAGGAAAGGAGAGAGGGGGAAGAGATAGAGAAAAATCATTGATCGGCTGCCTCCTGCACTGCCCACACTGGGGATCGAGCCTGCAATCTGGGCACGTGCCCTTCACTGGAATCAAACCCGAGACCCTTCAGTCCGCAAGTGATGCTCTCTCCATTGATCCACACCAGCTAGGGCAAGGATCACCTCATTTTATGTCTGTATTCCCTTTTGCCTAGTTCAGGGGCTCTCATATAGTAGGCTCTGAACAAATAAAATATTACTTGAGAAAAGAGTTATTGCTTAATAGGTACAGAGTTTCTGCTTAGGGTGATGAAAATGTTTTGGAAACAGTGGTGGTGGTTGCACAACACTAAGAATGTAATTAATATCAACTTAAAAATGCTTAACTTTATGTTATATGCATACATTTATGTACGTAACATTGTTGGCAGCTCAGGTCATTCCAAAAAAGAGAGCTTCAACTGGAGATAACTTATATCTCTAATAAAATGGATAGTATAATTACATGAAGAATACCAAATTTGAGAAAAAGCTATCTGTTGATAACAAATCATATGTATATAAACTAGATATAGACATATATCTCTTTTTAAGGACTAAAAAAAGCTCTTTCCAACTTTTTATTTAAAATGTAGATTCCACCCTAATTGGTTTGGCTAGTGGATAGAGCATTGGCCTGCGGACTGAAGGGTCCCAGGTTCGATTCCAGTCAAGGGCATGTACCTTGGTTGCAGGCAGCCGATCAATGTTTCTAACTCTCTGTCCCTCTCCCTTCCTCTCTGTAAAATATATTTAAAAAATTTAAAAAAAAATGTAGATTCCTTAGAAACAAACAAAAAATAGATAAAATGTGCCGAAACGGGTTTGGCTCAATGGACAGAGCGTCGGCTTGGGAACTAACGGGTCCCAGGTTCGATTCCGGTTAAGGGCATGTACTTTGGTTGCAGGAACATCTCCAATGGGGGGTGTGCAAGAGGCAGCTGATCGATGACTCTCTCTCATCAATGTTTGTAACTCTCTATCCCTCTCCCTTCATCTCTGTACAAAATCAATAAAATATACTTTTTAAAAAATAGGTAAAATGTAGATTCCAAACTCAATAGAGACAGTAGTCACAGTAATTGTCACACAATAAATGCCGATGTCTTTAGTTTTTCAAACCCCATGTCACAGCCACCTTGGTCTGATTCTCTCCTCTAAGGAATTCCAAGAACTGGTTTGGTTCACCTAACCATCTACCTGGGGGCAGTCCTCTCTTGCCATCCACTCAAATCCAGAACTCCAATTTGTGGGGTGCATGATCCTTCGGTCATCCATAAAAGTGTCTGGAAGTTATCGATATTTTTAGCCAAAGTCAGGGACATAAAACTCCTTTTTGAAGGGATATAGTGAATCCTGGTATTCATCACCAAAAAGATCTCCTCAAGTATGAAAAAGTGCAATCTGTGCCTCTTTTAAAAACAGAACCTTTAAGGTTAAAAGAGAAAATCCCTTCCCGAACTCACATTGTCAGACACATCAGCCACACAGGAGCTGACAAGACCTGCTGTTCCCATGACTTTAAAACCACACCCCTGAATGAAGGAAAATGGCGGGAACTTTCTGCACAGCGCTCCTCCGCCCAGACTGGGGTGCAGACATAACCCTCCCTCTGGAACTAGATCCCGCCACTTTTGCCAAGGCCGCTGGACATGTCCCTTAAACACTGGACTTCAGGTCTTCATCATTCCGTCCTACGGATCTGTCCTCTTCAAGCTCTTTGTCACGGTCTGGGGAAATACTCTGACTTCCTATGGTGCTGGAGGCATCCGAGTCCAACCGTCTTCTTTTCTTCAGTTGGTGTAAGTGGGATTTGGATTTCATATGTGCTAAAATAAAACAACACAACAACAAAAAATACAAAAAAACTAATTAGGCTTTTCTAGAATCAATCCTAGCAGCATATAAAATTAGCTATGCAACCCTTCTGTTTAATCATAACAAGAACAACACATGTATTGGTATAGCTGCTTAGCAATTTTAAAGGAAGAATAAGTTACATGGCCAGTGAGCTAGCAAACTAGAGCAAGCTACCATGGGTCACACGCACCCTGCTAGGTGCTTTACATCACTAATCCTCCCCAAAACCTTGCAGACAGTACTACGCAGCTCATTTTATACAAGAGGAAACGAGTTCACAGAGGCCTTACATTTTGTCCAAGACCACACAGCAGGTGAGCTCCTCAGCTTACCTATAGTTCTACAAAGGGGCCAAATTTTCCAGAATCAGGACTCAACTCTCTTTTTTGGTATAGGGCTCCCCAGTCACAGATACATTTCTACTCACATGACTAAAAAGTTAAAAATTCAAACCCTTGTCTGTATTACAGGACAGCTGACCTGCCTGCCACTGGCCTGTGGCACCGAAATGCCCTTCCTGCTGCTTCCCTGCTCTGCAGGCTGCCTTCCGGCACTGCCCTCCCTCTGCCCGGGCCAGATAAGCCATCTGAGTGACTGACCCACAAGGCTCACATTATGCAGACACACAATGCTCCGGGCAGATAACAAGAAACCTCCTCTGACATCCCTCTGAGGGTCCACAGAAGCAGTCAAGCTACTGCTGCCTGACAGCAATTTCTGACCTCTCACTCCAGACAGCTCCCACCCTCTGACTAACTCACACAAGCTCCTTTTCACTAGCCTGTTCTTTTCAATAAATTCTTATTTGGAAAACACCTAAAAAAAACCCCAACAGATTAAATTCTATTTCTACATATTTAAATAATCATTTTTAAAGGGTTAGAAGCAAAAATAAACAAGGTAGAGGTTAGAAGTCAAAGAAAAGTTTACTTGGGAGGAAAAGTCAGCTTTGTTCTCTAGCTAGAGGCTAAGGCAAAAAAAAAAAAAAAGGGGGGGGGGGGGGGGAGGAGTGGGAGGGACACTGGATTGGCTCTCCCTGGCAGCAGGAGGCAGGGGCAGGGACCTGACAGATGGCACTATAGAGGAGCTTATACAGGCCAAGCTCACAAAGGCTCACAAATGATGCTTCTCTAGGGCCACCCCTGAAGGACACTGGACAAATCGAACCACTAAGTTTCCTCTAGAAAAAACAATCAGACACTCTCTCTCTCTGCTCCTTTCATCATTATAAACCAATGACAATCGAGGCTTCTGCTGCTGCTTGGGCAGTCACAGCCGTCCCCAGTCTAACAATGGAGTTCATTTTGCCAGAGTTACCAGTTAATAGACTCAATCATTCTACTGGTTGGTATGGGGAGAAAAACCAACTTCTGTAAGAATCCCATGCAAAGCAGTCCTCTGAACAGAAGGGTTCCAGGCATCAGGTAGTCCGGCTGTGCATGAAAGGAGTGAGCCTTCAACAAGTTTCTAAATGTGACACAAATTCACGGCTTGGAGGCCGAGGCCCTTTGGGATCTGACGGGTGACTACAGAACTCTGAGGGAGTGCAGTGTGACTCTGGCAGAGGCAGATCGAGGCTCTAAAACAGAGCGGAGCCTTCACACAGGGCCGATCCCTGGTTGGCCAGAAGTACCTTATCAAGGAGACATTGCCCAGAACCACCTTCTTTTACCTGACTGATGGCCCTGCTGTCACACTGTGCTAGGTTGAATGTTAAGTTCCCCTTAACACTTTTCATCAGTTTTAACAACCACCACCATTTCAACATTACCTTAAAAATTACTGAAGAGACACCACTTCTGAAGAATGTACTCAGAAAGAGTAACTGCACTTCCCGCTCCTTTCCAGCCATTTCTGCTTGTTTGGGTGATTACTGGCCTCCCTTAAAATCCTACCCCATCCCACTGAGGTCTGCATATGAAAGGCCAAGGAACTCTTATAGGGCAGGTCCACAAAAATCAAAGGACTCTGGAAAGTTAACTGTAGACCCTTCGGTATAAATTATCTACTCTAGCCAAGGGCATATGATCTTCCTTTGAAACTCAGAATACAGAGATAACTGTCCAATTTGGGAAGATAGCCATGAAATGTGAGTACAGGCTCTCAGAGGAATCTGGCCCTCCCTTTACACATCCACAGACTCTAGCCTTCAACCTAGCAAAGACGTTGAATTTCATGAAGGCAGTGTGGACACCCCCTTACAGATTCCCCAGACTCTACCTGCCCATTCACGGTCCCCAATGATGATTCGACCACAGAGGTCACACATGTGAGAACTCCTCTTATTCTCAGTTTTACCGGATGGCATCTTTACTGGATCAGCACCAGGCTTCCGGCCCTGAAATAACAAAGGGGGTAGGGGTGGCAGAGAAGCATTCAATTCAAAGAGAGTTGGATATCATTCTCTGATATTAAGGATAGTAGGATAGTCCCAAGATTCTTTTTTCTCATCCCAGAGAGCAGGTGGGCTGTGAACAGACTTTAGCAACAACCTTTCTGAATGTGAAGGTAGAAACACAGCCTCCCGGATCTAAAAGCAGCCAGCCCTTCTGCTCTATTCCACGGAAAGGAAGGCTGGATTCCCAACAAAGGTATAAACTAAGGAAAGCTGTCTGAAAACCAGACAACAGGCACTACCATGATTAATAATCACCTGGATGAAACTTTGCACAATTTCAAAAGCAGGTTCAAGAACAGACTCCTCCCACTTCGAGATATCAGATACTTCTAAGCCATATATTGGGGGGACACTGGGACCAGGTCCTAAAGATGACAAAGAAAAGCTGTGAGAGGTCAGCCCCCCAAGACCTCATCTGTTCTGCTTCCAGGACTTCAATTCAACAAAGACTTAGAAGGTTGACCGGTCTGCAGCCAACAAGTCTAGCTATATACAGAGTCTCGAGGGTGGGATCTTCCAAATCAGAAAGAAAAACAATATGGAGTAACAGCTCTGAAAACCACTGTGTGGGCTATGATGTGAAGATAGCGCACCACGAGAGGGAATAGCTAGTAGCCTGAAGTACTTCTGCGTGGAGATGAGACTGGAGGTAGCCAAGAATACAGCTATAGGCATTTCATCCGTCTGAGCCAACTGTGTTTGGTGTCTCTGCTGGTAGGCTCCCCAGTCTGAGGATACACTGAATTGCCTTCCACAGCTCCGTTAAGTCAGTTGCCTAACGGCAAAGAGCACTGCCCCATGGACAAAAACATCAAAGTCCTCAGGATGCCAACGGCAGGCAGGTGCTAGCCTTTTGATTGTGCCAACCACAAATAAGATTCTTCTTAAAATGGACTGGGCCGCACCTGCCACCACACGGAAAGGTGAGACCGGGAGGGCGCAGGCGGCATCCACAGCACACCTGGCCTTGGCCAAGCTCTGCACCTGTTTCCAGGCCACTCTCTATTTTCCTTTCCCTCTGAGTCCTTTGTTGGGCTTCTGTGCCCCGTCTAAGCACCTTTCAACAAGTTCTCGGCTCCCAGCTGCTATTCCTGGCTTGAGTCCAAGGCCAAGCTGGGGTGGGGAAGTCCCCCTGGATTCTTGCCAGAACCAGATCCCAGCAGACCAGCCCTGGCCAATCACACACAGCTCCTGATTTGCAGGGCAGCTGTGCCTTTCACACTAGCGCCAGGACTGTGTGGGCATATGCATGAATGAGGAACGGGCATATGATGCACTGTGCCATCAGCTCCTCCTGACTTGGAGATGGGGGTGTGTGTGTGTGTGTGTGTGTGTGTTATTGTGGCTTTACCACAGAAGGAAGCTCCAAATCATTAAAAAAAAAAAAAAAAAATCTTTTGTTACAGACTAATTGTAGCCCTGGGGAGAAGAGAAGCTGCATTAGAAATTCATAGTAGTGAACCTCCATTTCAGCTGACTCAGGCTTCCTCTATCTCACAGGACATGCAAAGAAAGCAGGGTGAGTAGAAGAAAGTGTCAAGAGCCTCTTGGCACCAGAACAACAATGGAGAGCGCTGTCAGAGGGTGAGAGCTGGGAGGGAGAACTCCAGCAATCTGGTGGTCAGCACCACCAATCCAGGTGCTTATGTTCAGAGGCACCGAGGAGCAGGGTGGGCGGCCTCGCTGCCCTTATCTGTAACTGAAAGCCAAAGGAAAAGGTAAACGGGTGATTCAGAAGCATATTTTAAAAATGCCCACAAGATGAAATTGGGGTTTCACTTAATATCTATCTATCTATCTATCTATCTATCTATCTATCTATATGTAGCTAACATGCAAAGTGTCCCCTCAGTTTGAACAAGAGACCGCGAGTTCAATTGCTCATTATGACATGCGCTGACCACCAGGGGGTAGTGAAGAACAAAGGAAGGCCCTGGCCCTGATCACCAGCCAGGCCTAGGGAGGACCCTGCCCATGTACAAATTTCGTGCACCGGGCCTCTAGTATCTTAATACGCACACAATTTCTTACCCAAGGCCAATACAAATGCTGTCCAGCTAAAGTTATAACTATAGGAAACAAGAAGACTGGTGGAAAGCAGAGCATGGACTTCAAAATCAGGCCTGCATTCAATACTCTACTGCTTAATAGCTAGGGGATTCCTAGCAAGTTATTTAACCTGTCAGAACTTCCATTTCCTTACTTGCAAAAATAAAATAATACCTGGAAGGCAGAATAATGTATGTATAGCACCAAATTTAGTACCAAGTATCAAATGAATGAGATTTTCCTTTCCTTTTCCTTAAAAGTGCTATACAGCCCTGGCCCATGTATATTCAGTGGTTGAACATCACAGGTTCAATTTCCAGTCAAGGGCACATACCTGGGTTGCAGGCTCAACCCTGGGCCCCAGTCAGGGAGCAGGTGGGAGGCAACCAGTCATGTGTTTCTCTTTTATGGATGTTTCTATCTCTCCCCTCCCCGCTCATCTCCCTCCCTTCCACTCTCTCCAAAAAAATTAATGAAAAAAATATCCTGGGGTGAGTATTAACAACAAGAAAGTGCCACCTAGGGGGCGGGTACAGGTTATAGGGGGTTTATGGGGGGGGCGGGGGGGAAAGGGGAATATCTATAATACTTTCAACAAGAAAGTTTTATTTTTAAAAAGTGCTAACTAATGCCGGGACCGGTTTGGCTCAGTGGATAGAGCGTCGGCCTGCGGACTGAAAGGTCCCGGGTTCGATTCCGGTCAGGGGCATGTACCTTGGTTGCAGGCACGCAGCTGGTCGATGTTTCTCTCTCATCGACGTTTCTAACTCTCTGTCCCTCTCAATTCCTCTGTGTAAAATCAATAAAATATATATTAAAAAAAATAATAATAAGAAGTGCTAACTAAAATTAAAGGTGAAACAGTTTGAAGCACCACATATCTGAACACAAAACACTCTGTTGAATATTTTGTCTTTTTATACTGCTCATCTGGCCCAAAAACCATGCTAATTAGGAAAGGCTTACTACAGAAATTTGATTGCTCTTCAAAATTAGAAGCTTAAATCAACCCTGAGCACCAACTCTGCTAAGATGTTGCTATTTTGCTCTTCCCAGTTTGCAGCCAGCATGCATGTGTTCAAGGCACAGGGCAGACTTCTTATTGGAAAGACTTGTTTTCTGAGACATCACAAGAAAATATCCCTGGCCAAAACCGGTTTGGCTCAGTGGATAGAACATCGGCCTGTGGACTGAAAGGTCCCAGGTTCGATTCCGATTAAGTGCATGTACCTTGGTTGCGGGCACATCCCCAGTAGGGGGTGTGCAGGAGGCAGCTGATCAATGTTTCTCTCTCATCGATGTTTCTAGCTCTCTATCCCTCTCCCTTCCACTCTGTAAAGAAGCCAATAAAATATATTAAAAAAAGAAAAAACAAAAAGAAAATATCCCTGAACAATCAATTATGCAACAGACACCTACCCAGGTCATGTCTCCAATCTTAATACAGGTCCAGAAACTGAAGTTCATTTTCTGGGTGAGCTGAGGGAATCTATACTCTATTGAACACATACCCAGGGGATAAGGAAAAACGTAAGACTTACTGCTCAAAAAGCGATTTTTAATCCATCGGTTTTGCTTCCGGGCATATCTCTTAGTCACTTGTTTCAGGGCCTCAATACCTGAAAGATCAAAGTAGACATAAGGACCTCTAAGTACTTTTCACCCTGCCAAAGAAAGGCCCATCCCGCCCAGCCTAAGAGAAAATTAGCCACAGCAGCGCACTAGTGGACTCTTGGTCGACAAAAATCTTAATTCTGAGCTGCCGGCCATTTGGGACTCTTTTTTTGAGGCCTTAGCGCTCTCTCAGACCACACCAGTGGGGAACTCCGTCACCCAGGATGCCCACGGTGGGAGAGATGGAGAAATCCACACCTTTCTTTAGGAGCTGGTGACCAGTCTCGGGCGTGCATTTTCCCTCAGTGGTCAGGTACTCGTGAAATTCCTTGAAGCCAATTGACTGGAAGATACCGTGTTGGTAGTCCTGGCTGGGAACAGGAGAGGTCAGCAGAGGAGCCACTGCACCTGAGCACTAGCAGGGGCCTTGGAGATGATCGAGCTGAGCCATTCCATCCCTCAGATGAGGAAACTGAGATCTTGAGCAGTTATTTCCTCTCTGAACTCCTTCCTCCACCACCCCCACCAGCTGCCAGGTTACTTCCCTTGAAAATTAACTCCTGAGAATGCCTGGCAGATTAGAAAACTGCAACTGGAACAAGGACACCAAACCTCCTCCAACAGGCCTTGCCAAGGACAAAGGCTAACAAACAAGAAGATCCAAAGCCAGTATTATGTTTGTAGTCTTTTGACCATAAGCAAGGGATGAAGAGTGGGTTAAAATAATAAGTCAAATCCTCACCTATTTTCTTCAACTTTCTTCTGATTATAGCGTCTGTGAAAATCTCTTAGTTCATCCAAGAGCCCAGCAGCAAGCATGTCATCCACCCTTTTATCCAAGCGCTCATCTAGAACTTGAACCAAATTAACCCATCACCGGTAAGCCTGCTGTAGGTGTGTGACCATACACTTACATGAATGGGCATGCTGCACAAAGAAGAAAATTTGTTCAAAAGGAAGAAAGGGTTCAAATGCAAAGATCTCTAATAATAAAAGGCTAATATGCTAATTAGACCAGACGTCTTCCAGGCAGCCTTCGGGACCAAGCCAGGGCTGGGAGGGAATCCCAGGTCCAGGTGCCCGCCAGCGGCTGGAGGGAAGCCCAGGTCCCAGCGCCAGAGGGATGCCAGTGCCAGCAGCTAGGGGAAGGAAGGCCTACTCTTGCATGAATTTTGTGCATCGGGCCTCTAGTTATATAATAATTCATATGACATTTAGTCACACTAAGACTCTGCAACTCCAATGAAAACAGCCAGAATGAAGCACACATCTTATTATTATATAAAGAGAAAGCAAACAATTGCTCCTTTTAGGGAGAACAAGTATTTTTTATTTTATTTATTATTTATTTAAATCCTCACCTGAGGATATTTTCCCATAGATTTTGAGAGAATGGGAGAGAGAGGGAAAGACAGAAATATCCATGTGAGAGAAACACATGAATTGGATGCCTCCTGCATATGCCCTGGCCAGGGCCAGGGAGGAGGAGCCTGCAACTGAGGTGCATGCCCTTGACCGAATCAAACCCAGACCCTCTGGTCCACAGGCTGACACTCTATCCACAAATATTTTATTCTCAAATGGAATGTGCGTCTATTGTTTATTTTAGAGGCAGCTAAGAACCCCCTGGTTTACCCTTCTTACTTTTTTCTATTATATTTGTAATTCTAATTTTGTGTTATTTCTCATTTTAAGAATTCTCAGATGACTCCTTCAAAAGAAAAAGGAACTTTAGTCCAAAGTCATCCTTGGTGTATCCTGAACAATTGAACGAAGAGTGAGAGGTCATAATCACTCAGATGCAGTGGTCAAATACAACTTTATTATAAATCAGATACTATTACATTATGCTAAATTACAGGACATTTTTATTTACAAAAACTTAATTATGGCCCTAGTCAGTGTGGCTCAGTTGGTTGGGTGTTGTCCTATGCACCAAAAGATTCAATTCCCAATCAGGGCACATGATAGAGGATACAAGCTTGATCCCCCGCAGAGGGAGTGCAGGAGGCAGCCCATGGATATTTCACTGTCGCATCAAGGTTTCACTCTCGAATTAACATTTCACTCTCCTTTTCACTCTCTCTAAAAATCAATTTTTAAAAATCCCTTTAAAACTTTTTCCATTATGAAAACACTATCTTTTTCTATAAACTTATAACTAAAATTAATAACAAATTTTCACCATTTAGTCATGCTCTTCTACCCCTCTGCCACTATTTCATTGCCTGCAATGGCACTAACCCATGTTTCTGTCTTCCTAAAAAGTTTGCATTTATTGAGGACTCTAGATGTGTCAAGCACATTCTCAGTGCTTTATATTATTAACTAAACTAATCCTCAACGAAGCGGTGAGATATGTGCTGAAACATTATCTCCATTTTGCAGGAGAGAAAATGGGGAGCACAGAAGGGAAAGTAACTTGCCTTAAAACTCGCATAGCTAGAAGATGATGGGTCAGGAGTTTAAATCCCAAACAGTCCGGCTCTCAATAACCACACTATACTGCCTATTCTCAAAACGATTTCACCTTTCCAGACCTAGCTCATAGGTTACCTGTACAGATTGGTCCCTGACTCCCCGCACAGAACACCCATCACTTTCTAGCCAACATTTGTCACAATGTAGTATCTATCTCATTATTTGTCGCCCACCAGACTAAGAGCAGGCACTGTGTCTCATATTCATCTCTGAAATCCAAGTACCATTCAGAATACTTAACACTTCAACCTCTTCCACAGGAGCCTCCCTTCTCTTTAGCTTTCTCCTTTGGATCTTCCCTGGATAGAATCTCTGTTCCACCCCACTCACCCCATCTTATCCCACCCTAGTGTCAGGGCTGCCCTTACTCCCTTTTCAGATAGACACTTAGGAGAATGGCACTGTGCCTTACTAAGTCAACAAATAATAGTAAATGAAAGGAAAATTAATAACTAATACTTATTTTGTGTTTATTATGAGCCACTCATGGTTGTAAGCATGTTACATATAGTAATATATTATTACAAGATTTAACTCGAATGAACTCTAGGGCATCAAAGGGCTTTTACCTGTCTGGTTAGCATGAAGCCAGAGGATGCAAGGGTTAGGGAACTTCAGAGGGCCTCCAAGGGGACCACCACCTTCCTCTGCATGTTGACGACGAAGAAATTCACTGTGAGGGATTCCCGTCTCTTCAAACACTTGCAAACTCCTAAGTTATTTGGGGGTGGAAGGGAAGAAGGGGGTAAAAGTCATAGGAAATATTAATTCTCAAGGAGGGTGTTTATTATAAAACATCTCATTCTCACTTTCACTGCATAAGCCCATGAAGACATGAAAGTCCAGGTTACTATGACTCTATAGCTATTCAGAAAGGGGGCCTAAGAAAACTTCAGGTAAAGTAAGAAATAAAACTATTCCTTTAAACACATACCAATTTTTCTGAAATCAGTTAACAGATTCGGAAACAACAGGTTTCTTCTACACAGACAGAATGGGACTTCCTTTCAGGTAAGCAGTAAAAGAACTTGTTTGGGACACTTTGTTACAAGCCAACAAGTCTAGTCTCGCTAGAATGCCTTTCCCACAGTAGAAAAGTATGTTGTATAGCCAGCTCATCAACTTTCTATTTAAATATGTCTAAAATTCTGACTAATTCAATATTCTACTAGCACAAAGACCAATGAAAAAAGAACTCACATACTACTCTTAAGCCACCATATACTCTGTCGGTATCTGTTAGGTCACACAGCACTAGGTAATTTAACTCCCAATTCTATACTCTACCACTCTGGGTGATTGTAATTTATCAGTGTGAAAGGGATCTTTTCCTTCCTGACCCAATTCTACTTCCTGAAACCCTAGCACAAGAGTAAAGACCCCTTGTTATTTCACATCACCGGTCATCCAAAGAGGACCTATGAGAAAAAAACGTACAGTGACAACATCTTCCTTTTCTGGAGGTTAGACTACAGGCTCAAACTAAAAGAAAGATGACAAAGTCCTCCAATCCTCTGTAAAGAAAGACTCTGGAGCTCTTACTTAGACTCGATTGACTCTTATGAAGACACAGTTCTCAACTCATTACTAGTTTAGAAGTAGAAAATGAGGAGAGGTGCTAAGAGAGAACTACTTGGTAAAAGGAGAGGATAATATGGACCAAGCTCTGGAATCATATCATAAAACAATATAAAAACGAATGCTCATCATAATGTTCCTGAGTTTTCAAAAATTTTTTTAAAATATTTTTATTAAAATGTTTAAATAAAATGTTTGGATACTAGAAAACATAACCTTCATTTATCTAGACTATGCATTATCACCAAGGTGATATTGCCCTTAAGGAAGCAAAAACAACCCTTATCTACTATAAGGTGTGTGTCCCTCCAAAGGTCAGCCATACCAAAAAAATCCCATTATTCTCCAGGATTAAAATTTCATTGGTGTGAAGAAGGAAGGGGGCATAATTAGGAAAAACAATTCTAAAAGGTTTCTAGGTAGGGTGGGAGACAATAATGAAAAAAGAATTCAGTAACATGATTTAGAACATTCATTTGAATGGAACACTTCATAATCCCCATCAATGTTACTATATTTGATCTCTATAACCATCCACATAGTAGATACTCCATTAGGTCTTCTACTCTGTCAGATACTCCCAACACAGAAAAATACAGCCAACACATGAGGCTGCAATTTCTAAACAACCTAAGAAAACATGACCTTCTTAAGTTCATGCACCACTTCTCTCTTCCCTTCAAGAAGATCTTCCTGTGTAAAGGTGAGCTGATCTATGAGACAGTTTATAACATCTACCTCCCACTGGGAAAGCTGTTGGGGCAGAACTCAGCATTGCACAATCAATTATGAAACCCAAGTCACAATGTAAACCTACTGCATGCCAGGAAAACTTATATGAAAACTGTTATACAAGCAAAGATCAAACAGAAAATGAGGCAAGATTACATAGGCCCAAGGGAAAAACTATATTGTATATGCATTTTAAATGCAACAACAAAGGAGGGTACAACCATTTATTGAGGGAGTTGGTCTGCGGCAGTAACTCAGGGCCTCCTAACCTTCTAAGCAGTAACACATCAATCTCCACTAAATACTATCATCCAACCTCTCTCTCATCACCCAGGCACAGTGAAGAACTCCCTCTCCTCCAGCTCTAAACGGACTCAGGGGTCAGCGGGCCCGGGCTTTCTCACCTGGCCACTTTGCGCTTGTCGTGTGGATGCAGCTTCGCAGCCATTTCTGGGTCCACCTGGCTTAGGCGTTTGTGAAGTACATGGCCATCCTCCTTTTCAAGCTCTACTTTCCGGTCAACCTCTTTCTCAGTGCCCATCTCCTGGGGCTATTAAGTGAAAGGTTAGAAGTAAATTTAACTCAAGAATTCAATGAGCACGGAGACAGTGTATTACCAGGCACACGGCTAAATGTTAGGAATACAGAATAGAGATGATTCAGAAGGTCTTGCCATTCAGTCAGAGATAGATCATAAACAGAAAATCCCAATACATCATGGTAGTGCTGGGAGGCCACGACAAATAAAAGAGGAAGGGAGTCGAAACCGGTTTGACTCAGTGGTAGAGCGTTGGTCTGCGGACTGAAAGGTCCCAGGTTCGATTCCAGTCAAGGGCATATACATTGGTTGCGGGCACATCCCCGGTAGAGGGTGTGCAAGAGGCAGGATGGTCGATGTTTCTCTCATCGACGTTTCTAGCTCTCTATCTCTCTCCCTTCCTCTCTGTAAAAAATCAATAAAATATATTTAAAAAAAAAAAAAAAAAGAATACAAATGGGTACCAGGCTAACATGTCTATATGAAGACATCCAGGAGTCGTGTTCTCAGTCAGTGTGATCAGAGTAGATCCTAATGGCCAGCACATAGTTTGCGAAGTCCCACACTGCGCAATAGCATCTCTGTAAGGAAGGTTAGTATTGGATATCTCCCTGTCACAGAGATGTTACAGCCAGGAAATGCTGAATCAGACTAGTGCGCTGCTAACTATATGGAGATGCTAATTAATCCACAGAGAAGCATTTTTCCCACACACAGCCCCTGCCCTTAGGCCTGCCTGGGGGAGCACACTTCACATATGGAGGTGGCATTCGATTCAGAATATTAAGTTGGAAAATTACAGTTGCTGAGTGTAAGAAATAGGCAAGAGCCCTTCCACTAAAATTAGCTGGTTAAAAAAAAAAAAAAAAAAAAAAAAAGTTACAAGTGATCTAAACATACCTTGGCACTGATAAGAACTTTCCAGAGTAGAGACTCAATGTAATAATTGGTTCCTCCCACGACAATAGGAATTTTGTGTCGGGCAAATATATCTTCAATGTGAATATTAAGAAAGACATCACAATATTTAATATCAGAAGAGAATCCTGACTCACTCAGAAAGGAGGGTATTAGCAAAAAACCACATTCACTTGGAATTGATACTAGTCTTCAATGTTTCCTACAAGTTCTCAGAATTATTTCCTATCAGTTCTGGAGGGACTGTCACAAACCAAAAGCAGATAAATGACTGTAATTACTTCCAATTCTAGAACTTTCTAGGCCTTGCTGCTAAAATTCAAGGCTTGCTTGGCATTCCAATCAGCTTAATGAGCACAAGTCCAAGGACTCTCACAGAACCAAGTGTCAGCTGCTCAAGAGGCACCAAGATGACATCTGACTTTGCTTCCTAAGGCAAAATACAAACTGGTTCTCTAAGACGTGGTCTAGACTCCATCTTCCATTAGTATGTGGTAGTAGGGCACATTTCAGCCACTCGAGATTCCACTAGATAAACTGAGAAGCACTGGTTCTAGCAACGGATTTCAATGACCAGTTCCAGTTCTTGGGCATTTTATTCAACCTGAGCTTGTTTTCTCACCCGTAAAATCCTCAGGAGTTCTTACGGGGATTAAATGTGACAATGCAAATAAGTTCCCAATCACAAAGCCTGAAATATCTTTTCAATTGAGTAAGCGTTCAATTTATAATTTACTTTAGTCACTATTGTTTTTATGTCTCTGCTACTTTGAATCCTTTTCTTTAGAACTCTGTTGAACAGACGATAATTATCTGCTTTAAGAAGGCTTTGCTTCTGAGGATAATTGATAAAGAGACTTTCAATCCAAACAAAGACTCATTTACACACTTCTTTCCCTTGCCAGCCAGTCAGAGTGCACAGACAAAGATGATCTCTTCTATCAGAAGCCCACTAACCTTTAAGAAGTTGGGATGGGGTGGAAAGATGTTAGCAATCAAGGATCATATAGAAAAAAACATAGTTGTTGCTTTTTAACTTAAATTCTATTATATATTGCTCTCCTTAAATTAAGTACAGGAAGTATACAATTACACAGTAGTTGTAATAAAACTTCAAATATATAATTAACAGCCGAAACAGGTTTGGCTCAGTGGATAGAGTGTTGGCCTGCGGACTGAAAGGTCCCAGGTTTGATTCCGGTAAGGGGCATGTACCTTGGTTGCGGGTGCATCCCGGGTAGGGGGTGTGCAGGAGGCAGCTGATCGATGATGACTCTCTCTCATCGATGTTTCTAACTCTCTATCTCTCTCCCTTCCTCTCTGTACAAAATCAATAAAATATATATATATATATATATATATATATATATATATATATATATATATATATATATAATTAACAAAGGGGAAAAGGACAAGGAAAACAAAAGGGGAAGGCTAAAAACAGTGATACCAAAGGTGGGGGGGGAGTGAAAAGAGGGAGGGAAATAGGCAGGAGGAGACATGGAGTGAAAAGGTTAACTTGTTTGCACAAGACAGGACACTACCATGATCTTGGGCAAAACCCTTCTGTCTGGGCCTCGATATCTAACACCTTCATCTGTCTAATCAAGAAGGCTGACTGGCTACTTCTTAAGTTATTTTCAATTTTGAACTCTGCTTGTAGGTTCTTACCTAAACTCACTACATAGCCAATCCTATAAATGACCTGATTAAATTGTCTCTATGGCTGATGCCCTTTGGAAATTTTAATAAGTTCTCCATTTTCTTTAAGTTCTTCCTGAACAACCAAATTGTCTTATAGCAACAATGAACATACTCTGGTGATTTATTTTAATTTCCAAAGGGTTTTCATATACATTATCTCATCTGATAAACTGCCTCGTAAAACAGGTAGGGCAAGAATTTTTATCCACATTTAAATCTCTGCCATTTGAGAGGCAAAAAAATCTCATTATTTTTATTTGCATGGCCCTGATTAACAAGGACAAACCCTTTTTCATGTTTATCACCATTTCTATTTCTTCCTTTGTGAATTAGTACTCATAACCTTTAATTTTTGTACTGATTCATAAGAGTTCTTCATATTTAAATGTATTAACATTTTGCCTTTCCTTGTTACAATATTTTCCCCCTGGTTTGTAGTCTGTTTTTAAATTTTACTTATGGTGGGCTGTTTCCCCATTATTAAATACACACACACACACACACACACACACACACACACCTATATATTTAACTCTGAAATCTGAAATCATGTCATATATAAAGAGGACTTGGTTTTATTTTTTTCCCAAAACAATGAACTATGTCAGGAATAATTATTAACTACTGCATTTATCTTTCTCCATTTATTTTATTAGATATTGACTGTTTCACGAATTTGCATGTCATCTTTGTGCAAGGGCCATGCTCATCTTCTCTGTATCGTTCTAACTTCAGTACCTATATATGCTGCCGAAGTGAGCACTCTTCACTATTTTTATGCTATCTTAATAAGCTAAGTATATATGCTCATTTGAATTTGTATCTGAATTTTCTATTCTGTGCCGTAAGTTTATTTAGTATATAACTTCCATGCTATTATAATTATTATGAATTTTTAATGTCTTAGTATCTGACACTCCAGATATTAAATGCAGTCTGGAAATTAAAATATATGGATAGCCCTCCTTATACTATCCCCCCCCCCCAAAAAAAATTGCTGTATTACCCAGAACATTTTTTTCCTGTCCCATCATCCCTTTTCCAAATATCCCTTTGAAATTCTAACTGGAAGTCCATTATATTTATAAATTAATTAAGGGTGGAAAACTGAAGCTCAGTAGGGTAAATTAATTAAGCCAATAAAATTCACATGATCAAAAGAGGTGGCTCTAAGACTGGAACACAGATTTTCTGGTCCTAAATCAATGTTCTTGCCACTAAAACAGTGCTTCTCAAATTTTAATGTGCATATAAATCACCTGGTACTCTTGTTAAATGCAGATTCTGATTCATATGAAGTGAGGCCCAAATTCAGCATTTCTAACAAGCTCCCGGGGAATGCTACGTTGAAGTCTGAGGACACCGTCTCTTTCAATCCACGTGGTGCTGAGGGGTTGTCCCTATTGGCAGTTGGGTCTTGTGTGCCCTGCTTAGAAGACACTGTCACTAGAAAGAAAACGCCTTTCTTGGCGTGGGCTGCCTGGCCACCATCAAGCCCAGCAGCTGTCTTTCCTAAGGATATCACAGCAGTCGCCTTGTTCCTGAAGTCCGTCACTGTGTAATTTGTCACAAGAGGATCCACAAAGCTGATCATGTGGTGCTGGCAGAGTCTCTGCTCTTGGGTAGAAACCTTGTTGGTGATGATGTCTAGGCCTTCATAAACCTAGGAGAAAGAAAATTAGCATGAGAATGTCATAGGCCTCCTGTACTGTACACCGGATGGGTGGAAATGGCGATCTGTTCCTCCCCCCAGCCAAACGCTCGACTAACCTAAAGCACCGGAGAGGGGTGCTCTAACCAGGGCATACCCAGATTCACAAAACCCATGGCAAAGGAAGCAGAATATGGAACACCAGCTTTCTTATCAAACATAGCTTTTCCCACTTTCCCAAAGTACAGTGTTCCTGCAAAACTTTCCATAAGTTAAAATGGGGTCAAGCAAAGAAGCATTATCATTAATTTATATGAGAATAAATTTCATCTTTCCCAGACCCCAAATTCAATCATGTACAATGTCTTTATTTTGTTCACAACTGAAATGCTTACTTGCATCCAGTTTTACACTAAGCATAACAAACACCCTTACAAGATCTTTTAGGCTTTGCTGATACCCTAGGACACATCTTACTAATGGATACACAAAATAAATCGAGATAAAGCACAGATGCTCACAGACACTGTTGGAAGGTATGAGGGCTTGGCGCTGAACTGATGGGTGTAGTTCCCAGAGAAAGAGCTGGTGCTATCTTTATAACAACTTGCTGCAAAACAAATGATGAACGCTATTTTCACTTTTTTCACAAACACAAAAATTCTCTTTGGATTTCTTACAGTAATCAAAAACAGTACAGGTTTCCCACACTATCCGAAAGATGAGCACTTCTATGAAGCCTTTCATAAAATTAAATGGTATAAGGCAAAGAAGAATTACCACTAATTAAAAACTGTCTTAGCCGAAACTGATTTGGCTCAGTGGATAGAGCGTCGGCCTGCAGACTGAAAGGTCTCCGGTTCGATTCCGGTCGGGGGCATGTACCTTGGTTGCCGGCACATCCCCAGTAGGGGGTGTGCAAGAGGCAGCTGGTTGATGTTTCTCTCTCATCGACGTTTCTAACTCTCTGTCCCTCTCAATTCCTCTCTGTGTAAAATCAATAAAAATATATTGAATATATTTTTAAAAAAATTAAATGGTATAAGGCAAAGAAGAAGTACCACTAATTAAAAACTGTCTGTCTTAGCCGAAACTGATTTGGCTCAGTGTATAGAGCGTTGGCCTGCGGACTGAAGGTCCCAGGTTCGATTCCAGTCAGGGGCATGTACCTTGGTTGCCAGCACATCCCCAGTAGGGGGTGTGCAGGAGGCAGCTGGTTGATGTTTCTCTCTCATCGATGTTTCTGGCTCTCTATCCCTCTCTCTTTCTCTCTGTGGAAAATCAATAAAATATATATATTTTTAAAAAACTGTCTTAATTAATTTAAAAATCATCTTCAGATTTCTTTTAGTTACCAAAAACATTATTAATGTAGATCTTGTAAAAGTGACATGGCTTTACTGAAAACCTTTGAAAAGCAGGAATACCTGTTGTGGCTATTAGCTCAGACGTAAAGATGAAAAGGTTATGTAAATCAGTGCCCAAATGAGAATTAATTCTGCAAGATTAACCAGAGTTTCTTTGGCCTGAACTTTAAACATCTAAACATGGATAGGCTATTTTATTTATTCTGCTTATCACAAAGTCTCCAGAAAGGTAACATTTTACATACCGTGTTTCCCCGAAAATAAGACCTAGCGCATGGAAAGATAAGACATCCCCTGAAAATAAGACCTACTGCAACTTTGGGAGAAAAAATTAATATAAGACACTGTCTTATTTTCGGGGAAACAGGGTAGTTCCACTTCAAATGCTTACATATCCTGGGATTTAAGTGGCTCTGAAAGGTTTTTAGAATTTATATTAGATTGGATTGGCTCCATTTGTGGAGAAGTGGCCTATCTACAAGAATGTATATAAAACAAAGTCAACTATTCTTTAATAACAAATAAATAAAACACATAAACCCTTTAAAGTCAGACCCCAATACTGCTGTACTCTGTTGAAAACATAAGTGATAAAATTACTGCCTCGCACATTGTAAATGCCACATAAGAGTTCTTATAGAACAGTCTCCATACTCACAGGCAAGCCCAGCAAGTGTGGCTCAGTGGTGGAGCACTGACTCACACACGCCCCGGAGGTCACATTTCCATTCCCAGGCAGGGTACATGTCCAGGTTGCAGGCTGAAGCCCAGGTAGGAGGCAGTCTATCAAATGATTCTCTCATCATTGACATTTCTATCTTTTTCTCCCTCTCTCTGAAATCAATACATATTTTTAAAATAAATAAACGAATACTCAAAGGCAATATATCCTATCTGCAAGCTCTGATCTGCCAATTGAACTAAAAAATTCAAGTGTACTTTTTCTAAATGCAAGTTCTCAAATGGAGAACAAATCTGAAAATACTAGTTTGAAAGGAGGGATGAATGCTTTGAAGTTCAATGTTCTCTCTGTAATCACTGATTCTACAGGGCACTGAATGAACAAATAATAAGTTCCATAGAGCCCACAATGGTGTTAAAAGCATTTTTTATCGCACATTTCCCTTCACTGATATGGGCGTCATTAAGTACAGCACAGTAAAATAGCTAGGAAACACGCTGGCGCCAGACAGCCTCAGGTCAATTCCTAGCCCTGCCGCTTACTACCCTGTTTCCCCAAAAATAAGACAGTGTCTTATATTAATTTTTTCTCCCAAAGTTGCGCTAGGTCTTATTTTCAGAGGATGTTTTTTTTTGTGTTTTTTTTTTAATATATTTTATCGATTTTGTACAGAGAGGAAGGGAGAGAGATAGAGAGTTAGAAACATCGATGAGAGAGAGTCATCGATCAGCTGCCTCTTGCACACACCCCCCACTGGGGATGTGCCCGCAACCAAGGTACATGCCCTTGACCGGAATCGAACCCGGGTCGCTTCAGTCCCTAAGCCGATGCTCTATCCATTGAGCCAAACCGGTTTCGGCCGGAGGATGTCTTATTTTCGGGGAAACATGGTAGTTATTTGTACTTGGAGTGGTCACTTACTAACTAACCTCTGTGATTCAATCCCTCATCAATAAAATGAGGGCGATAATATCTATCTTGTAGGGTTTTATGTGGATTAAATGAGTTAATACATGAAAAGCACTTAGTTTTTGCTCGGGACACTGTAAATGCTACATAAGAGTTCTTATATAACTACTTATTTTAGGACCACTACCACTACTATCATCACAACAGCATAGGGAGAATGGGAAATTATTTTAGTGTCACTATTTATTGAACTGTACAGTTATGAATTAACTATTCATGTTATGTTGTATATTATCTATCAATTAAAATCAACGCCCAGCCAAAAAGCAAAAACACAGCAACATTTTACACATTTGCATTAAGAATAAATATGTAAACAAACAAAAAACCCAATCAATTTTGTAAATGTTATTTTTGGTCTATAAAGACGTTTATATTGTAGATGCCACAACTGGGCTTATAAAATTTTATTACCTGCCTAACCTGTTAACCGAGCGGGATGTATAAATACGTCAAACTTAAACAATATCAGGAACGGGTAGGACGTATGAATACGTCCTGGAAATATATGTTGCGCCCTGAGAGGGACGGTATATATTTTTTGTAATCTTTATAATTGTTGTAAAATTTATAATTTTTTAATTCGATGTTTCCATTTTTTTGTTGGTGTTCTTTTCTATTTTTTTGTAATTTTGTATTTTCCTTTGTGTTTTATATATAAATGAAAATATATCTATATATCATTTATTTTAATTAAGTATAAATAAATAAAATAATAACATGAAATTACGTCCTCGGGGCGTGACGTACTGACACGTCCTAGTGAAGAGTACACACCCATTACAGGTTGCGTAATTAAAAAGGGAACTGCCCGGTTAACAGGCTAGAAAACATTCATCCAACAAAACAGGTTAGATTTGTAGCTGATTGTCATACATTTACTCTTTTTTCCAGCTTCAATTACATATGTATTTTAAAATATATTTTTTATTGATTTCAGAGAGGAAGAGAGAGATAGAAAGATCAATGAGAGAGAATCATGGATCGGCTACCTCCTGCATGCCCCCACGGAGATTGAGCCCACAACCCGGACCTGTACCCTTGACCGGAATGGAATCTGGGACCCTTCAATCCACAGGCCGACACTCTATCCACTGAGCCAAACCAGCTAGGTCTTCAATTATATTTTTCAGTGTGGCTCTACCTACAGAACAGTCAGCCCTGGGCGCCAGGTAGAGCTAAGAGGATCTGTGGTGTCTTTCAAAAGGCAGCAAGTCATTCTATTCCACTTCCCATTCTTCCGGAAGGCACCTGAGATCTGTGTGCACAGAAATTACTGGATAAAGTTATTCTCTCTGCACAAATCAGAACTTGACAATATTAATGGAACTCTGACCTGTTTGTGAGGCCTCATAACTGAGACACTCTGAAAAATTACAGGTTTAACCTACTTAGTTTATTATCAAAATAACTGACATTTCAGCAAACATTTACTGAGATGTTTGGCATGCAAAGATTAAGAAAGGGTCCCTGTCCTCAAGGTGTCCAGGCTAGTGAGAAACACAAATAACAGTACTATAAGGAGATAAGAGATATAGAAATTTGTGAGAGAGATTCAAGTTTGACTATACACTCTTTTTTAAATACCATAACTCCAAAACACTTAATGGTCTAAGTAGCTAACTGGCTACTAATGTACTTCTTTGTCTCACCTCTGAAAATTTTTTGGGAAAAGGCTACAGGCTTAAATAACTGAACTCTCCTAGCCAACAGAGCTGAAGGGCCTAGAGGGGCTAATGAAGGTGAGGGAAATCTATGAAAGACCTAGAGGAAAACCAGAAGTATCTAGAGCTGTGATTGTAAACCAGAAGTGAATCTGTCCACCAGGGGATATCTGCAATATATCTGGAAACATTATGGCTGTCACAAGTACGGAGGCAGGGGCGCTGCTGGCATCCAATGGGTAGAAGCCAGGGATGCTACTCAACATCCTATAAAGCACAGGACAACTCCCCTGCCCACAACAAAGAATTATCCAGCCAAACCTGTCAACA